CATTGTGATGTATTTTGACTGCATCACAACTGCATATGGTGTGAACTAGCCCTAAAATGTACTTCTGAATCCACAATGTTGTGAATGAGCAGGTCTCACCATCCACTGTGTGAATAATTTGGGCTATGATGAAGCTAATATGTTTTATTTTTGGCATCTGTAATTGAACCAGTAACAAAAGGTAGTATGTGGAGATGCAAGCAGTGCACTTTCATACTCTGTTTCTTTTGCATCTTAACGAGGAGCCTGTGCCAGGACTATGCTAATGAAGACCAAGAAGAATGAGTCTGACATCTTTTTTTTATTCTGCTGTTCTACTTATCTCCAGAGTACTATGGAATAATACCCTATTGTGGCCAAAACAATGCAGCAGCGGAGTAGAAGCATCAGCCATATGCCTGGCAAAGAACTAATTTTGCTCTGTTGTGGGAATCTTCCAGGTGGGGCATGCCTGGTACACACACACGCAAGATAATAAGTAGTGCTGCCAGTAATGCAGGTTTGCCTACAATAATATACCCTAAAAACTGTACTTTGTTCTTCTAATGCATCCGTAACTGTTAAGTCAATGTGATTATTATCCTAAGTATATTGTGTATAACGGTATGTTTTTTGTGTAGAATAAATCTTTACTACTAGTTGTCATTGTATGTCCTACATTAAAAAAAAACCTACTTAAGCAAATAAAGATAACACATTCTAGTAATGGGCATCATTAAATGGTTCCTTTATAATTATTACCAGGATCAGATTTCACACTTAAAGGAGAACTATGAGGTGATCCCTTAATGAAATTGGACACTTGCTGGTGCTAAGGCGCATAGAAATTCCCTATGCTCCACACTAGTGCTGTGTGAAATTCTCTATGCTCCACAGCGCCATCTAGGGACACTAGTGCTGTGTGAAATTCCCTATGCTCCACAGCGCCATCTAGGGACACTAGTGCTGTATGAAATTCCCTTTGCTCCACAGCGCCATCTAGGGACACTCGTGCTGTGTGGGCATCCGCCTAGAACATTTATAAATCAGCCACTTCGATTTCGGTATGTTTGGGTTCAAATTTTAGTTTGATAAGGCTAGGTTCATACCTAAGCGACACCTAACTGCGCGGCAATCGTGCACGATTCTGCGCAGATTGCAGCACGGTCAGGAGTCGCCAAGTTGTGAACCGATCGCGCTGTGGGTGCCATTATTTTCTAATGGCACCCCAGTCGTGCTGGGTGGATTGCGCGGATTCCACCCATGCTTCCGAACACGATTGCGGCTAAAACAGCCGCATGTCGTGTATCGCAAAAAGAAGGTACTCGTATCTTTTTTCTCTGATTGCCACGGGGATGTCACCCCATTGAAATCACGGTTCCCGGGTGTCGTGCGGTGTAGTGCAGGTGTGAACCTAGCCTAAATGTGTTGAAAATATTTTCTTCTATAGATTTCTCATGTTGGAAACTGTGGACTACTTTAAAAAATGGCTCTCCCCCACCTTGAGTAATAGTAATATAAGGTATAGAGAACTTACAAATGCTGAACTTTCTCATGTGATGACTCTGCCTTCTGTTTTCAATATTTTAATCCATTGCTGGAGCACAGATCATGTCATTTCTGTCAAACGGGATGAACTTTGGAAAAGCTAACTAGCTCCTTGACCATCTTCCAACAAGCCCCTCTGGTACAGTTCATATGATTAGTACTTCAGCATTAGATGATGTGACATCCACTACAGGGGTGAGAAATGAGAAGGATTGCATCATGAATGTACTACTTAGTGCTCTCTAGTTGTCTATGGACATTATTGGGTATCATATTTTTGTTGCGTATTTATTTTGAGGCTTGACATGTTTCGGTTTTTTTTTTACCCGACATAATCTCATCTTTTATATTTTACAATTTTGATTTTTTTTGTTTGTACTAAACTTAACCACTTGCTGTCCAGAGCAATTTCTTACATTTGCACACATGATAAAATCTGAATTTTTGGCTAGAAAACAGCTCCAAACCCCCAAACAATTATATCTTTTCTGAAAGCAGAGGCCCTGTAGAATAAAAAAATGCTAGTTGCAATTTTTTATGCTGCACGGTATTTGCGCAAATGTTTATCAAACCAGTATTTTTAGGATAAAATACACTAAAATGAAAGTTAGTGCACAGAAACAGAACAAAATACCCAATTTTTTGGTAAAATATAAAAGATGGGGTCACGTCGGGTAAATAGATACCAAACATGTCAAGCCTTAAAATTGCGTTCGCCCGTGAAGCCGCAAGCTCTGATCGGTCCCGGGCTGTATAGACGCTTGTAAAACACAGCAGCAGCCGTGTTTTTGATTTAACCACTTCTGTGGGCCGCTGTATATGTACGTATTGCGGCCCAGAAGTAGTTAATTTTAATGTTTTTTTTACTAAAAATATTGATTTAAGAAACAACTGCACAAATAGCGTGCAATATAGAAAATTGCAGCAATCTTGTTTTTATTTTATAGGTATTCTGCTTTTGGGGGGTTGGAAGTCGATTTATAGGCCAGAAATGTGCATGTAAGCATGTGCATGATAAATGAAAAAAAAAAACGCCCACGTAAGTCAAAGTAACAGGTTTTCTTTAAGAAAATATATAATGTTTGGGGAAATGGATGTTTGGACAATCTTCAGTCTAAGTGGGGAATTTCCCTCACTGTTGAGCTTTCCTCTCACTTCCTGTTGTGTCTCTGGGATGAGAAGTGAAGGGAAATTTCCCCAAAGGTACACAGACTGCACAAAATTGACTGACATGGGTGGTAACTATTGTATGCTCTATCCAAATCTAAAAAGGCAAGTTTGGGCCATACATACACTTTAATGGCTGTGAACTGAGCTAACTAAGGAGGAAAGAGGGACAGCGGAGGGGGAAAGAGGGAAGGTCAAGGAGGAAAGAAGGACAGTGGAGGAGGTGTGTGGGACAATGGAGAAGGAAAAAGGGACAAAGGAGGCAGGGCCGGATTAAGAGCATCACGGGCCTGGTGCTGAGAATTTTGGTGATCATTTTTATGGAAATGGCGACGGTCACCGGGGTCTTTTCTTTTTTTCTGGGCTGTGATTTGTAGGCTCTCTACAGCTTGGAGTCAGTAGTGGAGTCCTAGAGCCTTTTTGAGCTCCAAGACTAGACTAGAGAAAAATTGAAAAAGTTGGAGGCAGCTGTCATTTGTAAGGACTTGGAGCACACGGAGCTCCTGGGATTTGTACATCTCTGTTTTAATGTATGATTTAGTTTTTATAAATATATATAAGATATGCACCGATACCAGTTTTGCAAGTACAAGTACTGATACTTGTCCAAGTACTTACAAGTATAAGTACTGATATATTTTTGTTTATTGTCATGTGACAGTTTTCCTAAAACAAGGCAGACTAATGATTTTAGGACAGTGGTGGAGCGCCAAAGCCAGGTCCCAGCTGCAACCCTGGTAGTTCTCGTGAGAATGCCAAGTATCGGCACTGGTACTCGAAAAGTATCGCTACCGCCAACTATAGAGGACTAGAAATCCCAGCAATAAATTCTAAAGCACTGCAGAAAAATGCCGTCAGCTACAGAGGACTACAAACCCCAGCAATACTTTATACAGCATTGCAGAATATGAAGCTTGATACACTGTGATGCTTCAGGTTCGCGGACTGATGTCTCCAGGGTCTAAGAAGTGCTAAGCGTGGATTCGGGGGGGAGGGGGGCTGTGCAGGCTCTTAGGAGGCTGTTCAGGCTCTCGCCGCCGTTGCGGGCATTCGGGTGCTCAGTGAAGGCTCTCGGGTGGTCGGTGAAATCGGCAGGTGGTCAGTGCAGGCTCTCAAGTGGTCGGTGCGGGCTCCAGGTGGCTAGAGCGGGCTTTCAGGTGGTCAGTGCGGCCTCTCAGGTGGTCATTGCAGGCTCTAGGTGGTCAGTATGGGCTCTCAGGGGGCCAGTATGGCTTTCTGGCGGTCATTGCGGGCTCTCAGGTGCTCAGTGATTGCTCTCAGGTGGACAGTGAAGGCTCTCAGGTGGTCAGTGCGGGATTCAGGTGGTCAGTATGGGCTCTCAGGGGCCAGTGCGACTCTCTGGCGGTCAGTGCGGGCTCTCAGGTGGTAAGGGCTTCAGGTGGTCAGTGTGGCTTTGCTGATGGTCAGTGCGGGCTCTCAGGTGGTGATTATGGGCTCCAGGTGGTCATTGCGGGCTCTCAGGTGGTCAGTGCGGGCTCTCAGCCTGGAGGGAAGCTCCACCTGCCCTTATGTTAGTCCGGCTCTGAATGGAGGAGGAAAAAGGGAATGCTGAGGAAAGAGGGTGGCCAAGGAGGAAAGATGGAATGTTGAGGGGGAAAGCTGGGGAGACAGCTAAAGGGGAAATATTACTGCCAAAGGGAAAGAGGGAACCCTGAAGGGGAAAGAAAGATTGTGATGCAGTCCCTCAAATATAGGACAGATGGGATCTATGCAGCACAATATGATATCCTCAGTACAGCGCTCTTCTCACACATATTACAGGTGTCAGTCATTTAACACTATCGGTATGAAAGAACAGCGGAGGCTCCGGATAGTAGTGATGTGGTGTATCTAGTAAATAACGGGTTAATACGGAAGACTTCTCTCCAGCCTCTGTGGGCGGTACAGGGCGGGTGCGGCCTCCAGTGATAGACGGACAGGTTGTTCCGGGTTAGTGGGAAGGGGTGCACACAGCCTGGATGTCCTGTTTTCATGTCAGGGTTGATATCCGGGTGACCAGGACGGCTATACATTATAGTGACAGCTTGTCATTGATTTTCTCTATCGGGGACGGTTATCAGAAATCTGGGCAGAGCTAATGTTCCTACTACAGTAACCTGGGCACCATGACAGCAGCGTGTCCCGGCCTGGTAGGGTGACATGTAGGATGCTGAAGACTGAAATCTAGAAGGAGGAGAGAGGGTTCGGACTGCGGTTTGGTCAAGGTGATGGTTGTCATTAGCTGGGAAGGATCGTACACATAGAGCTGGTTGTGCGGATGTTGTCCGATCTGTGAAGCCGATTGTCGTTGTGTGTATCCGCCAAGCTATATTTCCAGGGAAGTAAGCGAACAGAGTTGGCGGGGGTCAGGGGAGCCATTCCTGCATACGGTTGCAGGATCATGGGATCTGAAAGCAGCTCACTGAGAGGATTTACCCTCCAAGATCCACCGTGGACTCAGCCTTCCGGGCTCACTATATACCCTGCTCTGCTCCAGGATGGACGCCTGGCCTCTGTTTTTGTCTATCAGCTGGAAAACCAGGAGAAGGTGGACAAAGCAGCGAAGGTATGAGTATGAAGTGCTGACATGAGCTGTCATGTATAATGCTGACACAGTCCAATGTTGACAGTCATCTGATGGTCGCTATTCAGACCTACTGCGGATGCCTGGTAGTGTCATTTATTCCTCTGGTTCCCCTTTGGTACTCGTTCTGTGGCCATGTGAAGACCCCAGCAGTCAGTAGTGGAAACATTCGTTTGTATAGAACTAGGTGCCCAACCAGGGGGTCATATGCAGCCCTTTAGTACTTGCTGTGCAGCCCCCACTCTGTGGTCTGAATGGGCTACATAGAGCCCTTTTACTTCTTGCTCCACAGCCCTTTGCAGATCCCAACAGTCATTAGTATCAGTATCCTAGTGATTCAACCTGCATCCTGGGGGGCCACATGCAGACCTTTGGTACTTGTTGTGTTGCCCTTTGCAGACCCCAGCAGTCAGTAGTGAAAGCATTTATATAGCGCTATGGTGCACAACCTGTGACCCTTCGGGGCTTGCTGTGTGGCCCCATGGAGATCCCAGCAGTCATTAGTGGAATTATTAATTTGTATAGACCTGTGGTGCCCCACCTGTGACTCGAGCGCCACATGCAAGCCATTCGTACTTGTTGTGTGGCCACTTGCAGGCCCCAGCAGACAGTAGTGGGAGCATTAAATTGCATAGAGGTGTGGTGCCCAACCTTGCTGGGGGGGGCTGTTACATGCGGCCCTTTGCAGATCCCATCAGTCAGAAGTGGAAGCATTCATTTGTACACTGCCCTGGTGCCCAACCTGTGACCCGGGAGGGCCACATGGAGACCTTTGATACTCACTGTATAGCCCCCTGCAGACAGTCAGTCTGCAAAGGGCTATACATTGAGGCAGTCAGTAGTAAATGTCTTTATTCATATAGAGCCATGGTGCCCAACTTGTGGCCCGGGGAGGCCACATGCGGACCTTTGGTACATATGGCCCTTTGCAGACCCCAGCAGGTGGAAGCATTCATTTGCATAGAGCCCTGGTGCCCAACCCGAGGCTCTGGGATCACAAGTAGCCTTCGGGGCACCCGGCAGACAGTGATCTGTTTTGGTGCTTACTGAAACCAGTGGAAAAAAAAAAAAAGTTTTCTTTCCACCGACTTCTAGTAGCTCAATAATTTGCTTTATTTCTTTCACAATATATTCCTTTTTCTGTACTTTCTATCCCTTTTCTATGTTTGTTTTATCTGCTGATCTTTTTTTAATGGATCATGCTGACAGAAATATCAAAAGTGGCACAATCATTTTTTAAGGGTGCTGCAGGGAGACACAAATGTGGAATTATTGATTTGCAAATGGGCTGTAATTGCAGCAATGTTTAGCAGTCTTGTATGATGCGTTTCTGGTGTCCTGAATCATGTCCCCATCAACTCCTATAACATGCCCACAGACTCTAAACATCTCCTATTGCATGTCGGCAGTCTTTGGCAGCTTACTGCAGCAATACATTCACTGAATATTATGTAATTATTCTTTCATAATGCCAGGAGCCACATTTGAGTCTCCCTGTATTAAGTAAGTTGACCACCACTGGCATAGAGAGGTGATATTGACTGGACTCTCTAGCAGTCTCATGTGGCATGTCCCCAGTATCTTATCTATTGTTGAAAGTGCCTTCTGCACACTATACAGCGTTGTGACCAGTGTAGATAAGATAGGTGCTCGTAGTGACTGCCACGGATGGCGCTGTTTAGAACCTCAGTGATGTGGGGATAGGTCACCTGCACTCCAAAATGCACCCCCCAAACCGTGGCTATTTTTGCCTATGTGATGTTATTTGCAATAAACAATATTGTCTTTGCATTTTAGAGTGCTGGTGATCCTGTGTCTTCTATCTCCAACCACCCCTGTTGCATCTCTGCAGTCTCTGATCATCTCTTTAAAGGTGCCCATACACTGAACGATTCTCGTACGAGAATCGCGGGAAATCCCGCGATCGTACGAGAATCGTGCAGTGTATGGAAGGCGTGCGACCATTTCTACTGTACGGTCGCACGTCTTCCATCGAACCAGCATGTTTGAAAACCCGCCGGGAATCGTACGATTCTCGGCGAGTTGGTGGCCTGCTGGTTCGACAACTGCCGAACGGGCCGGTGTGCGCACGCGCACACTGCCCCTTTGCAGTCATCGTAAGCCCACCCCTCATTACAGTCATCGCAAGCCCGATCTGCCCGTCCAAGATGGGCAGATCGTACGTTTTTTTAATCCCTTTACAACCATCGCAAGACTAAGGTCTTGCGATGGTTGTACAGTGTATGGCCACCTTTAGTATGTCTGAAGTCTCTGACAGTATTCTGTCATATACTGAGTATTATGTGCAGCCCTTTGGAGCTTTTAAGGACCACTGTTGAGGCCCCATATACATTGTACGTTGACAACCACATACCTTGTACGTTGACAACCACTGCCTAAGTCCCAGATGAACTGGGCAATTCTCTAGGCTGTGGAAACACATGTGGGGAAATAAATATTATAAATATTGCAGCTCTTTATGCAAATAAATGAAAAATAAAATGTGTTTTTGTAAATAGGTGGATCCAGACATATTACGCTGGCAGTGTTAGGTGTGCTGCAATGAACTTTGGTTTTTGATCATTGGATTCAACAATACTCCTACAGTTGTACTTGTGTAATAGATGTGCGCTTGAGAGACACTGTCACCAAAGTAAGTTGCAAAAACACAAAAATCAAGTATTTTTGATGCTTACTTGACGGGATGGGACACTCTTGAATGCGGGTGGGCATTTTAAAATGCTCACGTGGGTCTCTCTGCAAGCAGGAAACTGACAGCATTTTAAACAGCCGGCGATGGCTGTTTACATACAAGCGTTCAGGTGGCTATAGAGCCGCCTGATCTAGAGCTGCGGCTAACAATTATTTTCAAAATCGATTAGTTAGCCAATTTATTGCGTTCGATTAATCATATAAAAAAATCAAAAGACATTTAAAAAAATGGCTCCAGTGATGGGACTACTAGTTTGTATTGAGATTGTAGTCCAACACATGAGCAAGCTTGGAGCGGTGGAAGTAAAAAAGAAAAAGTGTGGTGTGCAATATAGTGAAATGGAAAGTGTAAAATTATACAGCATGAATTCAGAAGGGCATCGGCTATAGAGGACTACAAATCCCAGCAATAGTACATTATACAGCACTATGCAAAATATCACCAGCTATAGAGGAATGCAACAAATCCCAGCAATAGTACCTTATAGCTGGTGGTATTCTGCATTGCGCTGTATAATGTACTATTTATTGCTGGGATTTGTTGTACTCCTCTATAGCTGGTGGTATTCTGCATTGCACTGTATAATGTACTATTGCTGGGCTTTGTAGTCCTCTATAGCTCTTGGTATTCTGCATTGCACTGTATAATGTACTATTGCTGGGATTTGTTGTACTCCTCTATAGCTGGTGGTATTCTGCTTAGCGCTGTATAATGTATTACTGCTGGGATTTGTAGTCCTCTATACAGCGCAATGCAAAATACCACCAGCTATATAGGAATACAACAAATCTCAGCATTATATTATACATACAGTGTATAATGTATTGCTGGGATTTGTGTTCCTCTATAGCTGATGGTACATTGCTCTATATAATATACAGCACAATGTACCATCAGCTATAGAGGAATACAAATCCCATCAATACATTGTACCATGTGTGGGAAAGTGCAGGCTTACCTGAGCAGTCTTCCAGCAACTTGCTTCTGAGATGGGGCCTGTCTTTCGGCGGCTGTCATCCCCCCACTCCTGCTCCTCCTTACTTCTTCTCCCCGCGTCCCTGTACCGATCGTGGATGTGCGCGGGCAGTGAGCGTGAGGAAGTGTGGAGCGTGGGTGCGGGCGGGTCTGTCAGCGGCGAGTGTGAGGTGGGGAGGAGGTGCGGCGAGCAGCGTGTCTGGAGCTGTGAACAGGGCCAACTAATTGGAAGCCGATTAATCGATGATTGAAAACGTTGACAACTTTTTCAATAATCGATTTTAGTCTAGCCTGAATCTAGCCTGATCTTTTGTATGTTGCATGCAAGTGTGTGTCCCTCAGCCACTGCTGCCGCAACCTAGCCTCGGCTCTGCTGTCCCCCATGCAGGCCTGGGACAGGCACATTGGCTCTCTGCACTGAGATTGGAGGGAGATCAGCCTACGTCTTCCCGCTGATCTCCCCTCCGATCTCTGAATGTGGAAGTGACGTGTATTACATCACTTCCGCCTTCATCCTGTCATTTCTCCGGCTTTTGTAGACAGAGAGAAGCTGGTGAAGCAGATCTCTGCTTCATCTTGTTTGGGGGGTCCTTTGGTGACATCAGATGACCCCTGATGTCCCCATAAAGAGGACTTGCCACTGTATATTTACTTTCACATAGGGGGCTTCTTGGCCCCTATGTGATAGCAACAACGTTAAGTGTAAAGTAAAAAAAGAAAGTTTAAAAAAAAAAAAAAGTGAAGTCCTCTGCCCCATGTACATACACATGCAAACATGCGTCAGGTGCGCCTATGTACAAAAATTGATGAGCAACATAAAATAAAGTCTTTAACTCAGCGCTAGTGCGATCATAGCAACCCTCAGTCAGTAACCTCCTCTCCACACTTTGGTCGGCAGCTCCTCAAGGTTAGGAATCCCTCAACACATGCAAAACAAAAGAGAACAGCGTCGCTCTCATGTGTAGAACATTTTATTACACCAAATAAAACATAAGCAAATCTACTCACTAGAGCATGGTAAAAATGTGCATGGGTTAAAAGTCGGCCTGTGGAAACGTCACATGTGAGATCATGGAAGTTTTCCTCTCAGACAATGGGCCTTAACACAGCCGCCAATCACATCTCTGTTTGCTCCGGCAACTGTGTACTAGGCAGATGCATTTTAGGGGCACACCCTCTTCATCAGAACCATAGCTTCCCCAGTCTATGGGCAGAATTTGACTGGAGAAAAACGATTAAAAATAGAAAAACTCGTTTGAAAACGGAAATATTATACTAATCCATATAACATAAACATGTGTAGGGACATGCCTACTAAATTTATATAGGAGTGTGATGACTTGGATGGACTGGTTGCTAAAATGTAATGGGTATAGAATAATGTCCATGATGGAACCAGGTACATCAGGTGATCGAAAGAGCATGTCTCAGACTAATTGAGATCAGAGAAGAGAGAATTCAAAAGAATTATGGCAGATAGTCTTGTTCTCTATCCTTCCTTCCTGAGAAGAAAACTTCCATGATCTCACATGTGACGTTTCCACAGGCAGGCCGACTTTTAACCCATGCTCTTGTGAGTAGATTTGCTTATGTTTTATGTGTTGTAATAAATGTTCTACACGTGATAAGAGCGGCGCTCTGTTCTCTTTTATTTGTTTTGCAAAAATTGATGAGCGGTAAAAGCTTTTAAAGGGCCAATTTTGGGTATGCTAGTTTTTTCGTGATTTTCTTGGGTGCACCCAATTTTTAGTCTTGACATGTATGGTGTCTTTTTACTTGACGTGACCCCCTTCTTTTATATTTTTCCCCAAAATTTGGTAAAAATCTTTCCTAAAAAAGGGTAAACTGTTTTTTTTTTTTTTTTTTTAAAATCCTTGCAATTTTTTTCTTTATATAGTAAAAAAATATAAAACCCCCAGTGGTGATTTAAGTACGACTAAAAGAAAACTCTCTCTGTCCCCCAAAAATGGTATAAAGTTCATTTCAGTACGACATTGTTTTGACTGACTAAATGTCGAAGTACCCGCAGTGCAGAATACTGAAAAATGGCCTGGAGAGGAAGGAGGATTAACACTCCAGTCTTCAAGTGGCTAAAACAACACTGTCCGGAAACTAAAATTACCAGAATGCTAGGCCTGCAAAAGAAGATAGTTACTGTTCACCTCACTGTCTGCCTGCGCCACTGAATGGCGTCCTGTTGAGAAAAAAAATCTTCCTTTTAAAGTCTACTAGGAAACCAATTTTTTTTTCTGGAAGTTTCCATCTCCTGGTCCCACGCTGCGCTCAGTTGTTCCTCCCGCTGATTTCCATACCACTACTGCGCCTGTGTGTGGGTGAGTATTTCCTAACCTCTTTTGCAAGAAGAGCTTTTTTGCTAATTGTAGTTACCTTACACGGTCGAATTACCCCTCCGCTGCCGTACCAGGAAACTATTATGGTGGCAGCAGCGCCAGCATGCAAACAAACTCCCAGCCACTATAGCAGCCGGGAATTTGTTGACCTTTTCAGTCCCAGCTGCCGTCTACGTAGTAGAAGTCATGTGGGCTGTAAAGCTACCCACTCACTTCTACATGTTAGTCAAGGTTCTGTTAGTTATTAGACTTGACAGTTGTATTGTAATGTGTATTTTGATAAGAGAAAAAAGAAACCAGCATGTTATTCTGTAAATGGCTTTAAAAAGTAGCGTTGAAACTCATCAGTATCAGTGTAGTCCACAGATTTGTTTTAAATAAACAATTTGGCTGCGTTGTTGGCTCTCATTCAGCCTTTTGTAGCGCTTTTTCTGCCTGGAAAATGGCCATGTGCACATCTGAGCGCTTTGTCACTTGTAGCCTAATGCCCATCACTTGAAGAGAATACATGAGCTTCTTTTTGGCAGATTGTGCACTTAGGCCCCATAGACTTCAGCCAAAATGCTCAAAAATGCGTGTTTGTCCATTCACATCAATGTGTCACAAAATTCTTGCAAAAACACGCAACTATGTGTGAAAAGTGTTAAAAAATGCAAAAAACTTGCTAAAAACACGCATATTCAATGTTGCTCAGGTGTAATTGAGGGATAATAGCGGCATAAGGATAAATATTTCTGTATGTTGCATGAACTATTTCTACTGCATTCATTATTTTGATAAACTTATCCAGATGTTCAGTGAACATCCTGCTCTCCTCAGTAGGGGCACCTAATAGAATATCTTTTAGTACCAGACAAAAGGTGGTAGGATTTTATTAAATGGAGAATTATGATCTTGTGAATTGACCTTTAGGTAAACATTACAGCAATGTCACTATAAAGCCTGCATTTGGTGTTTATATCGGGAACTATTTTTCCAACCTTGTTTGTTCCATATTTAAGTTGGTGGTTCATTACTTAGGATGAAAAGTAGAGAGCACCGACCCTGAGCTGCTGTCACTAGCACACCATACATTACCATGGAGACCTGGGAAGGGAGAATTGTTTTCTTTAGCGCCGCTAAATTTGAATATACCAGATATGTTTCAGCTCAGCAGGAATAAAGATTTTGTTTTAATGTCATAGCACTTGTGCTATGTTTGCACCTTTTTTATCACAGCCTTCACCATGTTTGGGCTCGGGTGTTATTTGCATAGTTCCTCTTCCACTGGAATGATACTCTTGTCCTCTATCTGCCACAAGGAGGATATAATGATTGTTTTGCTCTTTGGATTCGTGCAGTGGTAATTACCAACAGCAAAAATGAGCTTTGTGTTCTTTCCCAGGTGGCTGTACTATTTTTCTTCTTTGCTATCAGCAGAGGAGCTGTAGCAGGAAACCTCAAGGGGTTAAACGTAATACATGCAATGCTTCCTTCCTAGTAATGGGATCCTCTGCAGAAAACAAACTTTTTAATATAATACTCACGGAGGGGAATTTATCAAAACTGGAGCAGACAAAATCTGGAGAAGCTTAGCACAGCAATCAATCAGCTTCTCTGTTTTATTTTTAAAGCTTAACTGAGCAAACTGAAGCGAGAAGCTGATTGGTTGCCGTGGGCAACTGCTCCAGATTTTGTCTCCTCCAGTTTTGATAAATTCCCCTAACTGCATGTAGTGAAATAGTTTTGGGTCACTGTTTCAGAGTTTAAAGCCTAACTTCCCTTGCATTGGGGCTTCCCCCGCACTGCAAGGGTTTACTGTTCCTTAAAGTCTAGGGGACCTGTGTAAAGGACTTTTTACTTGCCTGATCCCAGCTTTCTAGCAGTTGGCACTTACATCGACTCCCCTACACTGCAGCTTGTGGACTGTCCTTCGTGGACCTCAAATATAATGCTAGGTTATGGGCATGATGAAGTGAGCAGGTCTCTGACCACCAGAGCGGAAGGGGGTAAAAGGCTAAGGGTGCCAGTCTTGGAGCCTGTGGTAGCAGGAGTCAGGTAAGTAGAAATTATTTTACACAGGTCCTCTAGACATTAACAAGCAGTTACCCCTGCAGTGTGGGGGTAGCCCTCTGCACTGCACAGTCGCTTCATTCATTTACAGATCCATTCACAGGATCTATGAATGAAAAGACTACAGAGTGGCAAGATTGGCAGGGGGACTTGCAGATCTCAGTGGAGCACAATTCACGAATTAATTTTTCTGCAGCCTTGCGGCCACAAAGCTGTACCAACGTGGAAACAAGGCTAAGTGGCTATGGCCAAAAACATAGGAACCGGGGTGCAAAGAAATGGCAGCAGGTGTTCTGGACTGATGAGTCAAAATTTTGAAATATTTGGCTGTAGCAGGAGGCAGTTTGTTCGCCGAAGGGCAGGAAAGCAATACAATAGTGAGTGTCTGCAGCAACAGTAAAGCACGGTGGGAGTTCCTTGCAAGTCTGGGGCTACATTCCTGCCAATGGAGGTGGAGATTTGGTCAGGATCAATGGTGTCCTCAATGCTGAGAAATACAAGCGGATACTTATCCATCATGACATACCATCAGGGAGGCGTGTGATTGGCCCCAAATGTATTCTGCAGCAGGACAATGACCCCAAACATACAGCCAATGTCATTAAGAACTATCTTCAGCATAAAGAAGAACAAGGAGTCCTGGAAGTGATGGCTCGGCCCCCACAGAGCCCTGATCTCAGCATTAAGTCTGTCTGGGATTACATGAAGAGACAGAAGGATATGAGGCAGCATACATCCTCAGAAGATGGGTGATTAGTTCTCCAAGATATTTGGAACAACCGACATGCCAAGTTCCTTCAAAACCTGTGTGCAAGTGTACCTAAAAGAACTGATGCTTTTGAACTTTTTGAAGGCAAATGGTGGTCACACCAAAAATTGATTTGGATTTCTCTTTTGTTCATTTACTTTCCATTTTGTTCATTGATAAAAAAAAAACTTAACAATTTTCTGAAAACATTCTTACTTTACAGCATTTTTTCACGCCTGCCTAAAACTTTTGCACTGTACATGTCTATTGTTGTCTTTGTTTTGCTAGTGTCTTTTCACAAAGGCATAAGTTTACCTTCCCCTCCTTTTTTTTATTAATACATCTTTTTTTGTTTTTTTTTAGCATTTGAAAACCTTACGCCATCCTTGTCTTCTCCGTTTCTTATTGTGTACTGTGGAGGAAGATGGGATCTACCTTGTAACTGAGCGTGTGCAGCCCCTGGAAATGCTTCTTGAGAAACTAACAAGTGATGAAATTTGTGCAGGAATCTATGACATTTTGCAAGCTCTAGTATTTCTACATGATCGGGTAAACATCTCATTTTTTCTTTTTAATAGCTTTGTTTTATTGTACTAATGTTTATGCAAAACTAACCTTCTAAACATATACACTATGTAGTCTAGAGCAGTCTTGAATGGGAAGCCTCTGTGCTTTCCATTCATTTAGAACAGAGGCTGCAGAAAAAGGGATTTTTTTCTATTTTAAAAGAGAAATATCAGGGAGCTGTTTTAAGAAATATGAAAATTAAGAAATAAAAAAGAATAAAAATACAATTAAAAAAAATCCTGGAGGCAGGGCGCTGAGTGACATCACACGCCTTTTGGGGGGGAAGGGGTAGGTGGTTTTTTTCTTGCCTCAAGCGCAAAAGGAGCTGGCTACGGCTATGCTCCCACGGTGCTCGTGAGGTTGCCGGCTGAATGTGTTAGAGGCCGCAGATGTAAACGGGCAGGACATCTCTCTCCAACGTCGGCCACACGAGCACCACGGGAGGATAAGGCGTCGGGGCCTCTAGGACTCGCTGGAATGTAAGCCGGCCGACTCCCTGCGTTCCGGGACGGGAGGGGTTGTGGAGTTGTATTGAAGTCATTGGCACTGCAGGCATGCCCTCACATTAGTGCCTGCATTCCGGTCCAGTGCGATCTGCAAAAATAGTGCTCGCAGCATTTTTGCGTATCGCACTGGACTGAAACGCAGGCACTAATTTGCCTGGGTTCCGGGTACAGGCGATCGCACTGTGGGCGAGGGGCCTGCCTCCGGTGCCATTGACTTCAATGCACCGCCACGCCCCCGAACGCAGGTGTTTTTTTTCGTTGGTAGATCTCATTGAGCTCGTCATTTGAAAAGTAGATCTCCAGGCGAAAAATTGTCGCCGCCCCTGCCCTAAATCATTACAATTTGCCTTTAAAAAAAAGAACAAAATAAAAAAAAGGCATCTATGATGCAGTCTGTCACTAGCATTAATATGGCAGTTTTTGTTGTTCTGAGTCCCTCTTGTAACATAAGTGTATTACCTGCTGATTCATTATTTTTTCCTCTTCCTTTAATAAGGTGCCAGCGCTGTTTTGTTCTGCAATTAAATTATGTAGCAGGACTATTACTGCTTGGACTGGATAGTCTCAGTTGGTCATTTAGTTCTAAATTGACTTAAGTAAGGGGCACTTTTTAAGTAGTTACAATAAAATTTTTGTTCTTTTGTAAAAAAAAAAATAAAGGTTTAAATTGTATGAATAAAAGCAGACCATTGTAAGCGCTCTCTGAGCTACCAGAAAACAGCATTTTTGGCTATGGTGGGCCTTCAAGTGTTTTTAGTCCTTACAGCTCTCACTCCGGCGTGTGCGGCGATACCCAACATGTGTAGCGCGTACGTCGTTTTCATACGTAGGCGCACCCGGCGCGTGTTTACGTTGCGACGCGCGTGCTTGCAGGGGCGGGGGATTAAAAAAAATTATTATTTTTAGATTTATTTAATTGAATTTTAAAAACTTGTATTTTTTTTTTAACTTTACTTTGATTGCTATCACATAGGAAGGCTTACAAGCCCCCCCCATGTGATAGCAGATGGTGGTGACAGGTACTCTTTAAGGTGATGCTGGGGGTCCAAAAGACCCCTAGTGTCACCTTTACACTAGAAGTAAGCTATTGAAGTGCAGATCGCACTTCAATAGCTTATAGCTGGGCTTCAGGAGCCCAGCGCTGACAGCTCTGGGACCGGAAGTGATGCAATCTGCATCACTCCCATAGAATGGGGAGGGGATCGACGAACGATCCATCTCCACCCCACGGACACCACAGAAGCAGGGGCCCATGGGAGGGGCAACGGAGCCCGGGAAGCACGGCAGGGGTGTCGGGCAGTGGGGAGGGGGGGGTCGCTGAGTCGCCAGAATCGCTTCTATTGTAAATCCGACAGTCGGTTTTACAAGTTTACACAGAGTCTGTTTAAACAGCCCCGATGCTGGCGACGTACACTGTGCACGTCATCAGTCACGAAGGGGTTAAACAACACCGAAGGCGAATACCGTTTTTTACCCAGCAAACATTTTTAGATACTGGTAATGTATCCTCAGAAGATTCCCCCCATTAGACTACCAAGCAAAATTCCTAAGTTGGATGCGAACTTCAGAACTACACCCTTTTATGCTGGAATAGAGAAATGCATCTCAACTCACTGGGAACACTAATGCACTGCTGGGAATTAGGGATGTCCCGATACCACTTTTTCAGGACCAAGTACAAGTACTTGCCGATATCAATTACCAATACTTTTTTTTTTTTTTTAGGGACAGGTGACTTTAAATGATCCGTAGTACATAATAGTAAATAACATGTAGTTGTACTATGGATTATTTAACCCATTCATGTTAGCAGGTCAGAATTGTAAATCTACTGCAGTGCATTCTATATGTAGCACATATACAGTACATATAGAATGCACTGCAGCAGTAGATTCTTCTTGTTCACAGAAAACACTAAGCCCAGGCCCCGTCTTACTCACTGTTGCCTCGATCGAGGTGCCTCACGATTTTGCAAACATGTGAGGATGTCGTCGGCGCTGATCTGGAGAGGAGTGTCGCGTCGCGTCACTGCTGCTCCGGAACGCCGCCCACTGGAGCAGCAGTGACGCAATGCTCGGCGCGGTAAGTAAAAAAAAAACAAAACAGTGCAAGCTTCGGCGCTGTATCGGGGCATTGTACTTGTCAAAATGCCCTGTATCGGTCCCGATACCGATGCTTGTATAGGTATCGGGACATCCCTAATAAAGCTATTGCAACACAGATGTGGGTGCAAAGTCAGCTGGAAGTGGAAAGTTGCCACCAATCCCTGTGCAATGACCTGCATGGCTGGAGGAGGAGGAGTCACAGGAGAAGTGACAGTCATGTGACAGCCATAGGAAGAGTGACAGTCATGTGACAGGAGGAAGTTTATTGATTGTCAACAAAAACACAGCAACTAAGGACCGAGAGACCACTTTATAAGCCCCTCCCCCCTGCTTCCAGGTCACTTGTTTAGGTCGCACTCAACCTCATTGTTCCCCTCCAGGTGGGTGACCTGCACCTCTCTGTGCCCCGCAGCTGAGCTCAGCCCCCTCTGCACAACGTTCCGAGCCACAGCGTGCTGCCGCCTCAAACTCCCCATTGCCGGGCGGTGTGAGAGCGCGCACACAAGAACTCCAACCAGGCTGCAGGGAGGCGGCGTCGCTGGAACTTGTGACTGACACGCCCCTGCTATCTGATTGGTCTACGCGCTGACAGCGGATCTGTCTCCCTAAACCAGCTCGCCTATTAAGGATTTTCCTCACACGCGAGCGCCGCCCACCAGAACAGCAGTGACGCGACGCGGTAAGTAAAAAAGAAACAAAACCGCGCAAGCTTCGGCGCTTTGTATCGGGGCATTTTGACAAGTACACGTACTTGTCAAAATGCCCTGTATTGGTCCTACTGGGAATGTTATGAAAGGCAGAAAGCCATACTGCGGTGACCTTTTTTTCTTGTTCCCTGTATCTGAAACATATTTTGTCTTGAAATCTATAGATGCAAATCCTGTAGAAATTGTAATCAATACAGTCAAATACTGCTAAAAGATCATCTTGTGTTTTATGTCTTCTATTGTTTTTTTATTTTTATTGCAGGGAATGGTTTCCCATAACAACGTGTGCCTTTCCTCTTTATTTGTAAGTGAAGATGGACACTGGAAGTTGGGTGGAATGGAGATGGTCTGCAAATTAACAGAGGTGGTTCCTGAGGTATGGCTTTAATACCTGTAGTATGGTGTGCTGAATTGGGATTGGCAAATCTCTACTAATTATGAATTCTTCATTGTGTCTCACAGCTACATAATTTCTTTCAAAATGTCATATTTGCTTTCTTTTATTTTAAAAAGATCTCCAGGGGGGAAAAAAAATATTAACCCTTGCAGTGAGGTTTCCCCCGTACTGCAAGGGTTAAGTGTTTGTTTTTGTCTAGGTTAAAAAAAAAAGAAGTTATACTCGCCTGATGCTCTGAGCCAGGCGTATTCATAGACCGGTCCTTAGAGCCTTTCTCCCCCTCCTCTGCAGGGGTCTAAGGTGCCATAAATCATCACATCTATGCACTGTGTATAGACGTGAGGACGTGAGCAAGATTCCAATGCTGTAGCGGAGGAGGACAGAGGCTGGAGGGAGTGCTGTGACAGCTGGCCGGCTTTGGGTGAGTATAACTTTATTTTAACATTTAGACAAAAATTACCACTTAACCAATGCAGTGCGGGGGTAGCCGGGGAGTAGTTCTTTAAAGTAATTTTTAAGCGAAATCTGCTTTTCTAAACCGTTTCCAGAGTATTGCCATACTGTCCCACACGCTGCTAAATGTCACTTTTTTGTTTTACATGCAACCCTACCTTTCAACACAATTAGCATTGAACGTTGGATGGTGAAGGCCATCCACGCAATGTTGTTTGAAAGTTGAATTCGTAATCATAGGCATAGTTTGTTTATACACTTTGTAATTGATCCCACAGTAGACTCATTAGACTTGTCATCTCCCAGGGCAGTTGCATCTGCTGAACTTGTTAAATTGGAGAAGTCACTTGAGATTCAATGGCTGACTTAATTAAGAGCATGAATCGCATCATTTTTTCATAAGAGCATCTAGAGTCTGCACCCCTCATAGCATTAAAGGATCTTAAATTGCAGTTATTCCCTAATACTGAATGCAGATGTTTTTGCACCCTGATCAAATTAACATATTCGACTCTATAAGCTCTATAGGGAACAAACTTGATGCCTTGACAGTAAAGTCTGTGGCAGGGGCTGACTGGCAACTTTTAGCCCAGGGGGCAAGTACAACCCAGAGGCCCATGGTGCAGCAACTTGGCCCCCCTCCCACTCTGCCTCTTCCCCGCCCCTGTCTGCCACTTTTGCCTTCCATGTAAGAGTAGTGAAAATGTTGGCTGATGTGAGGACTCCTAGTAAGTTCATGAAAGGGGTGATTGGCTGAGGGATGGTGCTCTCCTCCCACTGGGCTCCCTACATGGTTCTGGCCTTACTCCGCTCTATGTCTGGTACTTAGGCACTCTCACCCACGGTAGACCGCCGCTGGCTGTCCTGGGCTGTGAGCTGTGGGAGGTTAGTGGGATGAATTTTAAGTTCAATTAACCGGTTAATCAGGATTTTAAAAAATGGCTCCAGTGATAGACTACTAATTTGTAGTGAGATTGTAGTCCATCACAAATGCCCCAGCAATAATACATTATACAGCGCAATGCAGAATACCTCCAGCAATAGAGGAATACAACAAATCCCAGCATTATTTTAGCGAGGCCAGTGACGGGCCCCCTGACGGCCGCGGGGAGCGGCCGTTTTTAAAGGCAGCACAGAGGTCCGGGGGGCAATTGCCACCCTGCCCCCCGGCCCAGTCCGCCCCTGGTCTGTGGCATGAAAAGAACAGATAAAAACACAGTGCTGTATTAGGACCCCCCCGCATTATTCCCTGAATACTCTCATCCTTTAAGTTTTCTGAACTTACTGTAGAAGAGACATATATTCGTCATATGAAAGAACCAATAAGAGCGAGTCAAAATAATTGTCATATTCTAAAACAATCCCTTCACTGATACTGCCCACGAGGGACTTTTTAATTTAGCATCATCTTAAGTTTTCTTTTACCATTTTCTACAAGGAATTATGAATTCCATATCACACAAATATCACATCAATTCCATTGATTGCACTAACCCTATTAAAGCGGACTTTTACACTCAGAAATCAGATTCTACCAATGCCAGTGTCCCTGGATAGACTAAAAAGACCTATTCCCATGTTTTCTCTGGCAGGTATACAGGTTTAATTGCTTATTATCTGTGAGGTCTGTGTGCAAACTGAAAATCACTGGAGGAGCAGCTGCCTCCATCATTAAGCTGTCACAGCTCACCCCGTGTGTAGCTTTTACAAAAAAAGATAACCAGTAAGAGACATTTATGTACTAATCCTCATTCTCTTGTATTGTTATAATAGTACAGCCTTACCTTTTTTCTTTCTTCACCTGGCAGACGTGCCAGGCCCAGTGTTGGGATGTACGACTGTTCTGTCTCCCTCTTGAGTGCCTTGTCCTTCTAGAAAACGTCCTGTCAGGCTTTTATGGATGAAAACTATAGCCACACTCCCCTGTCTCTGGGAGTCAAGGTTGCACTATTGTAATAATCAAGGTATTTAAAGTTAACCTTTTCGTCATCACAGGGGGCTGCGCTCTGTAGGTTATCTGAGCTAAGTGGAGGGATTAGAGCAGGGGTGTCAAACTCAAATACACAGTGGGCCAAAATTTAAAAAATGCTCCAAGTCGAAGGCCGGGCAGGTTCAGTGTTTATTGAAAACAAATTGATCACACGGTATAATACTGTGGTCTATACAGTATATCACACAGTATAATACTGTGGTCTATACAGTATATCACACAGTATAATACGGCGGCCTATACAGTATATCACACAGTATAATACCGCGGCCTATGCAGTAAATCACACAGTATAATACCGCGGCCTATGCAGTATATCACACAGTATAATACTGCGGCCTACGCAGTATATCACACAGTATAATACAGCGGCCTATACAGTATATCACACGGTATAATAACAAAGCCTGTACATTTAATTATTAAAAAGCATGATACTTAATTACAATAAAACATTTTAGTTTTTCCAGTGCTTCTGTGGATTCTTTCCCTGCTTTCTCTCCTCATTGCGCAGGCCCCATAAGCTCTTCATCCCTGCTCTGGGGTCTGGCTAGGCAGGGACAGCCATGGGCCTTTCCTACAGAAGCCACAGGGCACTGCCAGCTTTAAAGATGGCAGCCACCGATCAGCGGCCATCTTTATGACACAGGAATGATGTGGCAGACCCGCACGGAGGGGACGCCAATCCTGGGGACACTTGGAGCTTTTGGTAGAACACCGGCCTTTGGGGACACAATCTGCGTCGGCTGCCTCGCGCCCATGTTGCAATGGCACCCTGTGCGCCCTTACCCCCCTGTAATGACGCCTATGCGCACTAGCAGTGCATTGTGGCACTATACCGGCGGGCCAGATCTAATAATTAAATATTGTCATGCGGGCCAAAGATAATTTCATCACGGGCCAGTCCTGGCCCACGGGCCTTGAGTTTGACACATATGGATTAGAGGGTTCCTTGGTTCAGTTCCTTCAGATGCAGGGTACTTTACTCTCCTGCTCATGTGGCCATACCCACTCTTTTCCCTGAGCAATGTGGAGAGCACTATGCTGTCTGTTAGAATACTTCTGGAAGGGTCTAGGCCTGCCTAGCACTGACTGTCTTAGCGGGGGGGAGGGTTTTCTGCAGAAACAATGCTGAGAACCCTCCTTCTTAACATGTGTAATGGTGCAGCACTGTAGTCTGTGCGACTGCAAGGTCATTTCACTGCACGGAAACAATGTTGTCACCCTGTTGGAGAAAGGCTCAGGCACTAGTAGGATCACCATATATTTATAAAAAGATTAAAAATGCAAATTTAAACTAAAACTACTATACTGCTTGCTTTATTTATAATGATTGTTTATTTTAATTAATATAGTAAATATGTTGCGCTTGATCTAAGTGAATGTGAATACCAGAGTAAAGAATAAATCATAAACAACACATAAACATCTATATAAATACCGTAATCGTCTATCTCATTGTGTGATCGATACACGTCAGTGTGTAAATGTCCAAGAAATTATTGAGACATGTGATATGTGGAATGTGTATTCATCCACCCCACAATATATCAATAATTATATGTGTGACAGACGCGCCGGGCTCACTTATTGTAGCTCGGAGTAATCTGTGACAAACAAGCAAAAAACAAATAAAGCAACCTAGTTGAAATCCTTATATAAATAACCTGTGGGTCTAGCACTCTTGCATGTGTAAACTTACGGTAATCTGGTGAACAACAACAGTGGTTTCAATACCTAATCGTGAAAATATAATAATAATATGCACACACTTTTTAGTATCTCAGTGACCCGAAATGGGCAGTGATTGAATCCAAATTAGTGAAATCAAATATATATTCTAATTCCCCTCTTGGATGTGTACAAGGGGTTAAATATTTAAAACAATCCCAACAATATAACAAACAGGCACAAAAATAAACGGAATAATCTCAGCAATGTAACAAGCAGTCAATTTTTAAGATTTTTGCAGTTTATATGAGACTGGATACAAACGGTTAGTCTCCTTCTCTAAATTGTATTTAGAGGAATAGTCCGTTCATTTCTCTGATGGATATCCTCCAAAATTTAACCAACCAATCGCTGATTGAGAAAACCGGAGTGTTCTAAGGATCTAATAGTCCATCATCTCCTTTGATCTCCAAGTCAGGCAATCGGATGTAATTTAGCCTTATATCTTGATTATTCCACCGCCTCAATGACGCCCAAGCTGGCAGCGTGTATCTATAGATGTCTCATAAGGGATACAAATGGAGAAAGAAGGCGAACCATCTAAGTGCAGTATACCATCTAAGTGCACCAAATGCTCTGATGCCTAGCCCGATACTTCTGGTATCAGGAAGCCGGCAGCGGGTCATTACGTGCTGCCCGGCTTCCTGATTGGCTGAACCGGCTCTAGGCTCTCTCGTCACTTGTGCTGGAAAATGCGCGTTTGCTGTGTTTTTGCACGCATTTGCTCATTTACATCAATGAGCTACAATCTGCTCAGAAAAACAAGCAACTTGATTTATTTGCATAAACGCACATAAAAACGAGCAAAAAGCGCTCAAACACGTGCATCAAAAACACGTAAAAACGCTGTTGCAGATGTTTCATTTAACCCTTCCACTGCCAAGCCCTCAGGAACATTTTGCACCTCAACTGGCCAAACCATTTTTGCAATTTTTCCCATTGATTTGATTCTCAACTGCTCCATTGCTAGCGTTTTGTAAAAGACCCCCCCAAACCATATATTTTCTGAAAGCGCAGGACCGGTAGAATAAAAATATGGTGCTACAAAATTTGTAGGCCCTGCCATAATTGCGCAAATGTTTCTCAAATCAATATTAAACCCGGAATTTTTGCCTTGCCAGCCGCTGATGACCGCTATTAATTTAAAGGGGACCGTCCGGGGAACAGTTCTGATATAAGAACTTATAGCAGAATTGTAAATGCCACCGACGTAAGGCATACTGACCTGGCTGTTTGGGAACAGTTTTGTTCTGCCGTATGCCTTACGTCGGTGGCAGGGAAAGCGTTAAAGGTCTATCAAAAACAAAAAAGCTGTTTCTATATTTAACTCCTATCTCTTAGCAGTGCCGCAGTCCTTAATTTGAAGTATGGCTTGTTATCAATGAACAGGAATCCTCTGAGTGTTCCTGTTCATTGATAACATGAGAACATTGTTTACTATAACTACAATTATGAATGAATGGGGGTGATGTAGATCACTCCCATTCATTAATAATTGAGGATATAGTTAACATACCATATGCTGAATTATGTACACACACTCAGCGATCACTCATCGCTGAGTGTGTGTACCTTGCTTTTCTCTCTGACACGCTGTCACAGGAGGCTGATCGAGCGGTGTAGAGAGGAAAGCCCAGCCCCCTGTGACAGCGTTGTCTCCGCCCCCACACCGCTCTGCCGGATTGTGATAGGCGGCTGAGCGGTGTGGGAGGAGAGACGCCGGACGCTCGCAGCGCTCTCGTCTGCAGCGCTCGGCCGGCTGTCACTTTCTTTTCTCCCCGCTGGAACAGCGTCCAGCGGGGAGAAAAGAGACCAGGGATGCGCCGATGTATCGGCCGAAACATGGCTCTTTCGGCATTATGCCAAAAGTGCCATTTTCGGCCGATATGTTTCGGCACCGATATATCGGTGCATCCCTAGAATTCAGAGTTTCTTATTAAAACACTGAGAGTGATTAGGAGTTCCTAGTATGGAGGCAGGACCTCTGGCTTGGCCTTTTGAAATTCCTCAGTAGTTGCACTGGAATGATCATACTATTTGCACAATTGGCAACATGTATTATTTTGGAAAAACTGGATTTTCACTTTAAGATTTTGCTTTTCTACGTTGATTAAGTATATTTTTTATATTAAATAATCAAATGTGTTTTGTCTCTCCCCAGTCTGCTGAGTTTGGAGTTGTGCCAATATCATTAAGCCATGCTCGAGATGCTTTCTTATTTGGCCGACTAGTGGAAAATCTGCTGACACATGTGAAAGATCAATGTAGGTCACCTAAAATTTCATAAACCAGTGAAAATCTTTTTTGTAGTTGCAACTAATGACTAAATTGGCTAAGAAATGGGTATATTTTATTTTTAGCTGATGTGCTCTCCAGCTTCAAGAACACTGTTAAGAACTGTCTTTTGAACCCTGAACCAGAGCTCCGACCTGCCCTGTCTACTTTACTCTCTCATGACTATTTTAGGTATGTAACTTACAGTATAAAGCAGATATTTTTGAGGGAGTGCAACAATTTCTTTATTTTTTGATGGGCATGTTAAAGAATACCTCGAGCAAAAAAATACTTAACTATGCACTCCCATGGGTTTTTGGTCTAGATGCAAAAATAACTTTCTCCTTCAGGTCCCTCCTCTGCTGATTGACAGCAGGCAGTTGGCGGGTGCAGTAGCCACCTGCTATTGGCTATAGCAATTTGAAATATCCAATAGCAGGCTGGCTACTGCTCCCAGCAATAAAGTAAAAAAAAGTTTAAACAATAAAGTTAAACTAAAATTAGGAAAAAAAATGTTTTTGGTGTGTTTTAATTTAAATAAAAGGTTAGAGGTTAGTTATTATATTGGCTTAGAATTTTACAATTCATATTTTAAATCAATGAAACTAATTCAAATGACTAATATAATGCAATTATTAAAATATATATTAGTGGGAAAATTCATTTTCAGTTGCGGCCTGACAAATTTTGCTGCAGGAGGTGCGTTGTGGTGCCATTCATTTCTATGGATCCCAAATGCACCTCTCGTCCACAGTGTGATCATCTGCACTGGAACGCATTGTACTGCAATGCCCTGCGTTCCAGTGCAGTGCGATTTCAAAAAAAAAATGTGCATATCGTTTCATTCTGAAATAAACTCTGTAACCCTGCATTTATGTATTTTATATGAAATAAATGGCGGTATTAATTTTTAATTTTTTTTTCTACAATCAAAGATAATAATCGGCTACCTAATCGATTAATTAGGAAAATAATCATTAGCTGCAGCCCTAGTCCTATTGGTCATCTTGTCCAATAACCGTTATTGCCCGAGAAGACGCCAAAGTACAGTCCATCGCTGCCTCGGAGGAGGAGATAGGCTGGTGGAAGCGCTGCAAGCCAGCCACCTGCGAAGATCGGATGCGTGTAACTTTATTTTGCGCCTAGACCAAAACGAGCACTTATCCCTTGCAGTGCGGGGGTAGTCCCACTGCACGGGTTAAGAAACAAGAACTTAAAGACTTAAAGTTCTTCTTTAACCTCCCTGGCGGTAATCCCGAGTCTGGCTCGGGGTGAATTTTCAATGCTAGGAGCGGTAACCCCGAGCCAGACTCGGGGTTGCAGAGAAAAGTGACACTCACCTTGTCCCTGCGAGCCCACGGCGTCCTCTGCTGTACGCGGCCCGAAAATGAAACTAAAAGCCGGCATCTGACTTTTAGTTTCGTTTTTGGGCGTCACAGCCGGTTGGAAATTCAAAAGTGAAAAGTTGCAATATACACAGAATACACACAACACAATGTAATCTGCTATGATTACTAAGAACTACAGGCCTACAATATAAACAACAAATTTCCATGCAAAAAATTGTACCGCTTTTGGTACAAAATTCCTGACATAATCATACCGCCAGGGAGGTTAAGTACATAAAGAGTTGAAAGATGACCATAAGCCAAAATGTTGGTTTTGGTTGATATTGAGCTATTTGAATAATTTAAAACAACTTCCCTAGCAGCTTGTCCAATATGCTCCTACAATTTAATTTGCAGGAATTGGAAGAAAAAAAATAATACAAAAACCTCATCAACACATAGCTATCTTGCTATGTGGATGCCAGTCTGTATGCTTAGGATGGTGGGCTGGTAGCCACAAAGAGAGGCTTTAAGTGTGTGCCAGTCTGTATCCCTTTAATAAACAAAAACTAAGGGAACAAAAAAGCCACATTCCTGGTCTCATGTCAAATATCAAGAACTGCTTATTTATCTGGACATCCCCATCCTTGAATTAGCCCTGATCTAGGTTGGATATTGAGCCTGGCTGATTGGTTTTCATATGTCTTGCATATTTCCTGCCCTCATATTTACCACAATTCAAGTAAAAAAAAAAAAGGTTTATGAAGTGAAAAAATGAAATATATTTAACTGTGCTTCTCCATTACGTGGTGAGGTACAGAAATGTAGAGGATGGATTGGGCTTGTGCATCTGGTAACCTGCTGCATATTCCTGCCTAACAGCTTTATATATAAACACACACACACCACCCCCCAACTATCCTTTCATCTCTACGAGTACCTTAATGATGATGATGATGATGATAATGAGAGAAACCAAGGATTCATTTTAGAGATATAAGCCTTTTCTTATTTGCTATGGTATTCTGTTAAATGAACAGACAAAAACCTTGGCATACTAATAAAGTGTGTGTCAAAAGAAAGGCATATTTTTAGCATCCTCTGAGGTTTGTGTGTGTGTATATTTGTAAAACATTTTTTTTTTAACTTTAAATAGGAATGATTTTGTGGAAATTGTCAACTTCCTGGAAAGTTTAACTGTAAAAAGTGAAGATGAAAAGAATGAATTTTTCAAGTGAGTACAAGTGGAAATGGTTGAGGTTATAGTTGTATGCTTTATAAGTATATAAAAACATATTGTATGATGTATTTTCATTTCTAGGCATCAATGCCTCACCCTTAAGAATAACTGTACTTTTCAGTAGTTATCTGATCCCAGTAACCCCTGCACCCCCTTCTTCCCAAGTCTGCCACCCTCCAGTCAACAATCTATCACTGTGGTGCTGCTGGGGGCTTTAACAGCCTCTCCGTGAAAGGTATCCCAGCCTTGCCCTGCATGCACAGTAGATTCCATATTCATTCCTATGGTAAGTCAGTCACCTTTTTGGCCTCAATGGTCATTTATTTCTCTCACTTCCAGTTGTGTCCAGCAGTCAGAAAGTAAAGGGAATTCTTCTCAATAGAACATAGATCAGAAAAAAAGATTGTTTTTTCATCCTTCCTTACTTTTTTCAAAACTAAAAAAAAAGGTAGGGATTTAGATATATTTTAAGTTGGATATACTTTAAGAAGCCGACACCTCCCATTGCCTACACACCTGATTTCCGCCAGAGTTTCTTTTAAAGGCAGATCTACCCAAAACTTGTAATATAGTCTTCTGTAATTACTAAAAGTTTAATCATATTAGAATGTTTTGCTTCTCTATGCTTTGACCATTACAAGGCCAAATGATGGTGTTGCACTTACTCTAGTAATTATTTGTAATGTGCAACAGATATTTGGAGAGTTTAGGTGTAAGTGACACTTTCTTTAACTGGGTGAAGAAGCAATCTTGCTGCTATTGTCTTTTGTGAATGTAAACTTAGTGCTATAAATCTGGTACTGTTAATGGTTTGGGCTTTTTAATTCTGAAACCAAGTAAAAAGTAGAGGTTTTGGTCATCCATTCTAAACACAGGGCTTCTGCTGATCCTGGGAGAAGAGTCGTGCCAGCAATAGGGAAGGGAAAGTTAACTGATTGCTGGTTAGGCAAGGTAGAGGGGTTGAGGGTGTTGTTGACTGTAAAGGAAGTGAAGGAATAGCTGAAGGGGACTTAAACCCTCATTCATCCCTCAAGCCTTTGCTGTGCTAAGTTGTAAGTTGGGGAAAAAAATATATAACCATTAATTTACCCCTGATCCAATATCAGCTTGGTTACAGGTCCTAGCTGTGGCAAGGTGAGGGCTGATCACATGGGCACTAACCAGCCAGTAAGTGGCTCTGCCTGAACACATTCGTCAGCTTACTAGCTGATCAAAGCACATGATCTTTGGGCAGGAACTGTAGATGTTGGTACCTTTTTTTTCACAGCTTGTCATTTAGTACAAAAGGAGACTTGTACAAGTCCATTGTTTTTCTTCAAACAGTGCAGTTTTATTGTGTCTAACATTAAGCAATGTTTTTAGAATATTTCTCACAGGTGTATAAATACATTAAAATTTGCAGTATATTTTTGGTCTTGTATAGGTTCCTTTTGGACCGAGTGTCAACTTTGCCGGAAGAGCTCATCTCCTCCCGATTGGTCCCTCTGTTGCTAAAGCCATTTGTGTTTGCTGAGCCTATGGCAGTAAAGAGCTTTCTGCCCCATCTTCTGAGACCAAAAAGAGGTAATTTTAATTATTATGAACATACCTCCAAAGGACCTCAATTTAGCAGAATTGTCAGAATGTTCCAATACCAAAATGAGCATGGCTGTAGGAGTGGCCTGGTTAAATTTGGTTAAAACTAAAGTGTGTTTTGGCAGCTAGTGTTTATTAGCTTACATTGCATTTCCACTTTTGCAGCCCAAATTCCGATAACACCTTTTTTATTTTTTACTTGTTCAAATTTTCATAGCATAACTGTCTGTCCTTTCAAAGGTATAAAGATCCCAAGGTTTGGGTGGTACACTGTATATTAATGCACGTTTAAAAAACTGTCTCACAGTTTGTCCCTTCTCTCCACACTGCCATCTTTTCAAAGCAGTAGAAGCTGCCTGTACAATTCTGCTTCAAATAAACAATGAAGGAATATTTTTTGTTCACTGCCTAATTGTTCCAGTGTATCTAAATGCATTAGCAAAATTGGTGTTTCCCATGCAACTGATAACTCTGTGCACATTCTATTTCAAAAACACAATTTCTTTATTCCTACTAATATATATCACATTTTAATACAGATATTATGGGAAGAAACCGTGAAGATTGTCTCCTGTCCCCACCTCACTTCCAGACCAGAGTCATCCCAGTGTTGATGAAAATGTTTGAAGTTCATGAAGAACATGTTCGAGTGGTGCTTCTAACCCATATTGATGCTTATGGAGAACTTTTTACTTTAAAAGAACTAAAAGATATTATCCTTCCACAAGTAAGATGGATATTTTATTACAAGAATGCATAAACATATGCTGGCGACGTACACTGTACGTCGTCAGTCACGAAGGGGTTAATGTATTTAAATCAAATAAGGTTTTAGTGAAGTGAATATGAAATGTTGCATATTAATATTTTGCATTCTTTTTTGAGGCAGCAGGTGGAACTTAGGCTCATTTTCATGTTTTACAGGCTCTTCCTTTTCTGCTTTTAATGTAAAGCCCGTTCTTTACAGATCACGATAGCTCAAGTTGAAATGTATGCACAAGTGAATTAGGCAGTAATTCAAAACTGTGCATCTGACAATAAAACCGCTTGACTCATTGCAGAGAAGGATCCCATACTGTACAGCTCATTATGAAGTTTGCTAAACCAGAGTCTGCAGTGCTTTTTCAATGTACCCCATAGAGTTTATGGAAAACTTTTTTCATGTAGAATTATCTGGGTCTCTCTCTCTTTCTCTCTTTCCCTTTCTCTCTCTTTCTCTCTTTTTTTCTTTTCCTTATATTATGCACCCTGGGGCAATACATGTGTGCTTAGCTACACACCTCTATATTCAGAAGGAAAAATTAATTGCTGGGGCCAGCATTGGTTAACTCTTGTTCTTTTCATTAGGTTCTCTTGGGTTTACGTGACACTAGTGATTTGCTGGTGGCAGTAACCTTACGTGGCTTGGCTGCTTTGGTGTGTTTACTTGGACCAGAAGTGGTTGTGGGAGGAGGAAGAGTGAAGATCTTCAAAAGTACAACCCCAGGGTTTACGAAAGTGGCAGATACAACACCAGAAGGTAGCTAAATAAAAAAAATGTCATCTTTTTTCTGTTTGTCATTTGTGTTCACCCACTCTTGATGTATGCATAGAGGAAAGCTTGAAGATGGATTTTGTGTTTTATGCAGTTGTAACACACATTATTAATTTGAGCGCCAGATGCAATTTGAAAACGGCACTGGGACTACACTTGTTTTCCCCAGTGACATTTTAAAATCTCCAACTGTAACAGGTCCTGCCCGGTGTTTGTCGTAGTCAATTGCTGTCGGTAATCCAGTAGTAATCCCAGGAGCTTAACTGATTAGCTGCGGTGCTTGTGATGCTGATACAGAGTGTTCAATTAGAGTGCTTTTTTGCACATTGGAACACTGTATTTTTATATTGTGTTTTAAAGGAAGTGCTCTGACTTCATCTATAACATCGACATCGGCAGCCATGTCTAGAGAAGGAGAACCCTGATCCTCATGCAGCAACAGATCACTGCAATAGTGGTCTAATTCTTGCTGAAACCAGTAGCTCCCAAAGCCCCAATAATTACGTTGATATGTTTAATCCAGTAAATGCAACTCTCAATCAGAGCATTCAAAGACTCATGGAAGTGTGCAGAATATCATTCACATTTGAGATAAAAGACATGTTTGTTCCGCACTCTATAAACCAGACTTGATCTTATCATAACTTTATTCCAACAATTTACAAAGACAGAATATTTTTCCTGCGTATATTGTGAAGTTAGGTTAAAATGGGAAAAACTCTTTCTGATTAAAACTTTGAAATAAAATTAGATATACTGTGTGTATGCAATATTACTGTGTAATTTACTGTGTAAAGCCCTATCTGTCCCAATAAATTAATGGTTAATATGAAAAATAGACTATGAAAGGTAAACGTTAAAGAGGAACTTTTATATATTCAAAATAACAACAAAGGCACCTTTTTAGAAATCACAATCTACAAACAGATGCTTATAGAAAATTGCCGGCTTTTTATTTTTTTGCACACCTTTTTTTTCTCCTCTTCCCCCGTGTTCGGACAGCGGTCATTTTTAACTAAGGGCAGATTACTAGATCTCCCTTTATTTCCTGGAACTCTGGCACATGTGACTAGAACATGTGACCATTCACATCTCAGTTAAGGAAAATGCCTTTCCTGAGATCTAATGAGATTACAGATGAGATTTCCCAGCAATGCGTTGCTGATTTAACCTTCCCAGGATGCAATGCTTGGACACGACCTACATCATTTGTGCCAATGTGGACCAGGAAGTGGATAAACAGAAATAGTAAGCAAGATAAAAATATGTTTGTTTAGCTAATGAATGTAAGATGATTTCATATCAGTATGCAGAGCTCTATGCTGATGTGATTTTTAGTCAAAGGGGGTAAAGGTCCAATTTAACAGGTATGGAGCCAACGCATATCTAAGAGAGAAAAATGCCCTGGGACTGAAGTGATTAAAAATTATCCACTATGGCTGATTTTTCTAAATGACAGTGATAACATGTTCCATTGGAACATGAGCCTTACTAGGTAATCTTTATGGAAAAAGAGCAAAAAGATAATGGCTTTCTACATGATAAAAAAATAACTATGCAGTTTTTGCGTCATTTTTTTTCTTCTGTCAGTTAAAGATGTTGAGTCTTGGTATGGTAATACTGCTTATCTATAACTCAGTAAATAGTTTGTGCATGACAGTTATCCTTTTTTTTAGTGATACCTTTACTGCTAGAAGTTAAGGAACCTTACCCAGCTGTCTGCTCACATCCTTACATCATCTTTAGATAATAGTGATGCAAAATAGCAACATGATTGCTATCAGATTTTTTTTTTGTGTCATGGCAAACTTTGTTTAGAAAAAGATTGCAATAGTAGATGTAATGTATATGGAAACATGTAGCACATGTAAAGTAGGTGCTATCCCATGATGGCAGCCAAAGTGGAAATAAACTTTAACTGTAAGATGTAATTTCATCTGGGAAGGCAGGTGTTAAAGGAGTTCTAAAAGTCACAGCATATACTATTCTGTTATAACATCAGCATTGTAATTGGAATACAGTACATACTATAGTTGTTTTTGATAATGCAATCAAAGCTTACTTGAAAACATTCTATCTATCTATCTATCTATCTAGATATATATAGTGAGACCTTCTGTCTGCCCATCACTTTCAACAACTCCCTGAATTCTAAGTGAGCAAAAGCCTCTCTTTCTGCTGCTTGATGTGATGCTTGGTTTCTTAAGACTTCATATTCAATCATGCATTGCTTCCAGCAAAACAATGATGGTGTTGCATTGTGGGAATATCCTGAGTTCACTTAGAGAGAGAGAGAGAGAGAGAGAAGGGGGAGGGGAGTTGAGTTTGGACCGCAGGCTTTGTAACTCAAGGAAGTACATATTTAGAGGGCTGAGTGAAATTGTGCCAAGTAAGTTTACAAACTTCTAAATCAATATGAATATTAGGAGTGGGATAGAACTTGTAGAACTGCATGTTTTGTTTATTTTTAGTTTTTGACCATAGATACCCTTTAACTCTCTTCACTGCAGGGTGCCATATTCCACTCTCGGGAAGCTCCACTTCCTAATAACACAAATCTGCCAAAAAACAGTAATTGGTTTTACCAAAGAATGCAAATTCACAGTTTTCTTTCTGCAAATGAAGTAGGACAGGACACAAGGACACATTACAGGCATATAATATACAGTGTGCTCCTGCAGATATCATAGACATTTGATATCTGGAGTTGCTGCGGGGAGAGGTGAGGTCAGCTCAGCAGGGTTGACAGGGTCAATTGGTATTTTTTTTTTTTGCACGTAGAACTCGCACAATGATCACATATAACAAACCTCTTTCAATAGTGAATTTAAAAGACCAAAAGATAAAGTTCAGTGGTTTGAGTTGAGGTTCATTTTGATTTTAGCTAAAATGTTCTTTTATTTGGAGACACCTTGTATAATTCATCTAGAAAACCTCTATTTTGGAGGCTGTTTTATTTGCCATACATTAGTAACCACTTGCAAACTGTCTATTGGAAACTCTTTATAGTATGATGATACATGACTTCGCTAGTCTTACAGATGCACATTGATTTTTATAAGGGAATACAACATGTATAATAAGTGTTCTCCTTTGTGCCAGCGGATCATATTGAAACTAGTAAATTCCATTTTTATTAAAAAATTTTATAGCATATACGCTGATCGGCCATAATATGACCACTCGCCTAATATTGAGTAGGTCCCCCTTTTGCAGACAAAGCGACCCTGACCTATCAAGGCATGGACTCCACTAGACCTTTTGAAGGTATGCTCTGGTATTTGCAACCAAGTCGTCAGTAGCAGATCCTTTAAGTCCTGTAAGTTGTGAGGAGGGGCCTCCACAGATCTGATTTATTTTTCCAGTACTTCCCACAGATGCTCAATTGGATTGAGATCTGGAGAATTTGGAGTCCAAGTCAACACCTCCAACTCCTTGTTGTGTTCATCAAACCATTCTTTAATTATTTTTGCAGTGTGGCAGGGTGCATTACCCTGCTGAAATAGGCCACTGCCATCAGGGAATACCGTGTACACAAAGGGTTGTACTTGGTCAACAACAATGTTTAGGTAGGTGGCACATATCAAAGTAACTTCCACCAGAATGGCAGGATCCAAGGATTCCTAGCAGAACATTGGCCAAAGCAGACTGGTTAGGGTGCCCATGGTGACCCGTGTCCCCCGCCAAAAGATTCTACCATGGGCACGTGAGCATCAGAACTGGACCAAGGAGCACTGCTTCCGCTGGCTTGCCTTCTTCCCATAGCGCATCATGGTGCCATCTCTTCCCCAGGTAAGTGACACAAACACACCCAATAATCCACATGCTGTAAAAGAAAATGTGATTCACTAGCTCAAGCTACCTTCTTCCGTGGTCCAGTTCTGATGCTCACATGCCCATTGTATGGGGGCCTGGTGGTGTTGGTCGGTCGAACGGGAAGCAGCAAAGGCGGCTCTCTAATTAGGAGGCTGCTGGGGCCCAGCAAGTGGAAACCTAATATGCCTCATTAGAGAGCCGCCAGCACTAGAGTTGCCACCTTTTCTTTAAGCGAAACCAAAACAATTTTTTTTGGGGGGGAGAATATGCAGGGGTGAGAGAGAGGACAGACAGCCAGGGGAGATAGCGAGGAGAGATAGCGAGCAACACATCTGCCTGAAGCAGAACCCCTGTGCCCTTTAACACTTATCTGCACACTTTTTTTTTTTCAGACACTTGCTCTGAGTTCTAGCATCCCTCCATCTCGCGCGCCTCCTCCATGCACTCAAGTTGGAACACCAGGACCCGGTGGTTGCCCTGTCCACCTGACATCGTGACATCTTGTGTTTTGGGTTTCAGCTGACCTGGAACACAGCCCATACAGGACTCAAAACCTAGACTGTCCGGGTGAATCCTGGACAGGTGGCAACCTTAGCCGGCTCCTCTGCCTGAGTGTGTTCAGTCCGGCCAGCCCGGATTGTCATCGGGCATACTGAGGCCTATTTTCAGTGGTGGACCTGGATCTGGCGCTCTAGTAGCCCTTATATTAATGCAGCCCTGGATGTGACCATGTTTCATGTTATGCCCTCAATATGAGTGTTATGATGTATGCTGGTTCTCTGTGAATATGCTTTCAGGGGTCCACATGGCTTTTAAAGAGATGTAGAAAAAAAATTAAAATCTAACATAGCATTTTCATGTGGCTAAACTGCCGCCTCTGAATATATATGCAGGCAGGTTTGAGACCAAGATGAATTATAATTGCCATCCCTTGATTCTTTCAAATCTGAAGGGGTTGTGCTTCTTTCATTTATCTACTAGATGTTGTGTATACAGTATAGCAAGTATGTGATCATCGGCATCAGTGGAAAAAAAACTCTTCACGACAGATGCTGGAGTAGCCTGAAAATCTTTCTCCATCTTTCCAGAGAGAAACAATGACTTGCATGTTGGCAATTGTTACAGTTGTCAAGTTTGCTTGGAGATTATTTGCATAATTGGCACCTGAG